AATTCAGCGCCCAAAAACACGTCTAGCAGTATAGGTCTTATTTCAAATGGCCACTTCGAGTTGGGATCCTTCCCTGGTTAAGTCCGGGCAAAGTGGATAGCAGCAAGGAAAGGGTGGTTGATGTAATGTATTTATATGGATTGTCCAAAGTGAGATGCAGGCTATATTGTATGCGGGACGCTCACCTAGATGAGGGGAGTAAAAATCAAGCTCACGAAGTAGAAGGCAGGAATGTTTTGTGTTAAGTAAATTAGCTCAATCCTGGAGCACTCAGGGATTGGCAGGGATTTTTGTCTTCTTACTTATAGATAGGCTACATTATTATGTGGCTTCAGTCACGAGAACGAAAATTCCACGAAGCCCATTTTGCAGGCTATTGATCGCAAAATCTAGACCATGCTATGTCATCATGTATTTCTTCTTTTGACAAGCTTCTGCCTTTTTCTGTGCTACGTGGGTTTTGCAAGTAGACATTTATATGCACGCATTCCTCTATGAGAACAGTAACAGTAGCTCTTCAACTTTTTTTCGTTCATCTCGTTTTTATTAAGTTCTCGGAAATTTTCTTTGTTGCACAGCACAGCGTCAAGGAGCATGAAATGGAGGAGGGTGAGGGGAACTGACATATGCCTAACTCTTTTTGGAGAGCGCGTTTACATGTAACCGAAACATCTTTGGTTAGTGTTTGGCTCATTCGACTTATTTTGTTTCATACCAGAATTGCCAGTTCAATTACATCACCTTACTTCAGAATATTACACGAAAAACTATGTCCCATAATGACAATGGCAATTAGTACATCCATCTTATTCTGTTCTTATTGTTAGATCGAATTGCGACTGTTGGCAACTCGATTCAAAGCGACCTGAAGCACGAGGTCACAGATGGATGATTTCCGCTTATGATAGCAAAAAAGTACGATTTCCTACAATTGAAAGCAACCACTCGATCAAAATTTCATTGCGAATATGACTTCTGTGTATGGACTTTCACTTTTTTTACCTTTCCTTTGACGCAAAACTTCGTTTCTGTTACCAGCTTCTTGATTTGCCTATCACTAGAGCCACCCTCTGACTTATTTCTAGAATACAAATGAGCAAGGAATATTTATATTACAAACTCTCGCCATCGGATCTTTCATGTTCCTTGGACCGAGTTTCATTTTCTTTTGAATTTCCGCCTTACTGGAACGGAGGTGATGGCAAGTGGTGCACTATCACGGACGTGCTGTGCTGGGATCGAATCCCGGATCGATACTGCTCACACCAATCAAGCCTTCCGTCCCTCCGGGATTCGTTATTTAGTATTCTAAATTTTAGTCTTGTAGCTCTCGTACATCAGCCCGCCATCTCAAGCCATTTTATAATAATTTTATAAGTCCCACCGGTCCGATCGACCGGCTAGTGCTGGCTTTCCCCTTTTTTGTTAGACCTGTACTCTCGCACACATCTCTTGTAGATTTAGATGTTCTAGTGCCGGAGAAGTCCAGGGAAACAAGAGTTATTTCTCGGCCAAACTCACACGTAAAAGAACTGAACTGGAGTTCCAAGATTATGTCCCAATGCCAAATTTTGTTGCATGTTCAAGTCAGTTCTTGGAGTGGTATCAAACTACTACTTGTCTGATATGCAGCTCATTCGCATGAGGAAAAGATATCGTTTCTTTAACTTTGAATTTTTGCCGAAAACTCACTCTTATTTTCATTTCCTTTTCCTTTTTCCTTTTCCCTTTTTTCTTTTCTTTTCTTTTCTTTTCTTTTCTTTTCTTTCCCTGCTCTCTTCTTTTTTCTTCCATAACCCCTGGATTGATTTAACAGCAAGGTTGTCCTCCATGCTACGCTGACTCGCTAACTTCCGAAATCGCACCAGTTGTTCCGAAAAGCCTAACGCACACCATGGAAAAAGCTTCGAAAGGTGGATTACGATGTCTCACTCAATGCTAGTCAATAGTGGTGGTCGTTTAATCGTATAATTCCTTAGAACGATTTTCTAGACAATTACATTTTGCTGATAAAACGCGGCGCTGGGATCGTAAGCGTTGAGTGGAACTTGGTTGTTTGTTTTTCGCTGCAAAGTTAAGAGTATCCTGTAGGAACAAATGGTCTATAGATATTCTTTGATATCGATATGAGAGGGCAACCACGTTAACGTGCAGCAACGATACCAGCCGCGAATCACGCTTTCTCGTAAGTATTCTTCAGAAAAAGGAAGGTGAAAATTCTCCCGATGGCGGGGTTTGCTTGGACTACCCAAATGTCATCAAACATGCTACGTCTTGGCCACAATGTCATTTCTTCCATCCTTCATCTTTAACAACATTCCAGGCACATTCCAAACTACGTGGTTGCGTTGTGATCAATAAACCCTGTCTTGCTTATTCGACTATATCCCTGAGAATGTTAGAAGTAGGACAGATCGTATATGCGCATTCAGTCGACGTCTTCTTCTCCAGAGAAGTGAGTCCATTTCCAGAAACCATGTTCACTTTGGTTCAATCCATTACAAGTGTAGTAGAAAGTTAACATAGGACATGGAGTGGATCTTCAGCAGCAGCATTCAACATGATGTGTGCAGTGCGTTGCGTAAGATTGTACTTGCTCAACCTCTTCTACTTTCTCACATGGGTCTTTGTCTACTTTTACCTGTAAAAGGTATGACCACTGATTCAAAAACCATGACCTATGTAGGTTCTCAGAATTCAGCGCTAACTTTTCCCGACTGTTGATTGATTTTACAGCGTGCTACGTGTTTTATTGAAAACTGCGCTTTATAATGCTTTTTGACATGTTTCGCCGTCTTGAATTAACGCATCAGGACGAATTCGAAAATAAAATTTGCTTGCAATTTGATCTCTGATATGACCAAGTTGGCTCCAACTGAGACAATAGAATTAGAAAAAGAATCAAAGGGAACGCTCTTTCTGACTTCGTGGTCTAAAATCATTGACATGTCTTGCTTGTTGTGTCAGCTGCGCAACAAATTGGTATATCGGCATTGATTGGTCGATAACGAAGGGTGTCCATGGAGCGTTATTTCCATATTACATATGCAACAGCAGTCTGATCGCCCAGCTAACGCCGGGCTCTCCTCCTTATGTTAAAGTGGAAATGTCTCGCAGAGACATATCATTACTGCCACATTTTTCTTATTGAAAAAGGAGTAATTCATAGCAGCCCGTATCGAGTAGTACAAATCAGCACCGGTTGAAATTCGTTGCTGTCATCGATCGCTACGTTTACAGCTATATTTTCACCACACCTCTTCAACTTCCTTCAAGTTGGACGCTCACGATAAGGGAAACAAAGTTGCGATTGGTTTCATAAGGTTCAGTTGATAGCAATGTTGAGGATTAAAAGCGTAGGAGACATCTCTAAATAAGTTCGAAAGAAAACAAATATTCAAAGTTTGAAGGGTGAAAGCAAGTATCGTCCTCAAAGTCCCATTTCGGTCGTGTCGTTGGATAATCACAACACTTATCGATCTCAACCGCAATGAGTCGGGCGGGGTATGACCCCATTATAACGACGATAGAATCGCAACGCACTCGGTAAATCCCCATACGCGTGAACGCTCCATTTCTGAAGAGAGCAGAATCCGCCAACTAACAATGCATTATCTGGAAGACTTCTGGGTAGGATTGTCGATTTTGGACTACACCTCTTTCAAATTCTACTGCCACCTGCCTTAGTGATCCCATCCTGCTGCATATATCCCCTACAAAATTTGGCTTTCTTTAGCTCTAGAAAAGCAATTTCGCTACTAGCCACCAGTGAGCGAGGGCTACACCACCGCCTGCCATTAGTGTTTCCATCTTGCCGCCGCCCGCATCCTCACCGAACTTGACCGCTTCAACTCCAAGGGAAGGATACACGGTTGTAGTGACCATTCAAATAATTTGTATCGTCGTAGGTAGTTTCGAACGCGTATCACGCACCTGCGTTCATATCTACTGAACGATTCTGGGAACGATGTTACGGGGCGAATCCCTCCTGTGTTATACTACCGTATCGAACAGATGAAGGAACCGAGCAAGTACGCCCTGTGCAACAGTGGTGCAGCTGATAGGGTGGTGAGCTTGAAGGATGGCATGAAGATTCGGGTCCTTGATCCTTGTGATTGTTTTGCTTCCCCATACGTCTTGAATACATAAAATTTTTATACTTATATTGGCACTACTAAACTCGCTCACATCATTTGGAATTTCTTTAATCCAAAAATATTCTCTTCGCCTTCACTGACCGCAGAGATGTGCCACTCTACCCGGAACACTCAAAAAAGCGTTTCGAAATCATAAGCAGCTCCGCTCCTAGGGCAGAGGGCAATCGAATGACTCACCTGATCGATGCCCTTCATGGATTGAGTACTGCCCTATTTGGAAATACTTTCCCGTGGTACAAGTTAACTGAGGTCTTTGAAAAAGATGCTGTGAAATAATGGTTGATCCATCTATGTACACATATTCTAATTGTCAAGAAACCCTTTCCTGAGGTGAAGAAAATATGCTGAGGGACACGATACCACAGTTTGGCCTGAAACCCTGAATCCGCCTACAACTTGCTTTGAAGTGTTCTTGATGGGGTCTTCATTTTCGAATTTCAGCGTCATGCACTGTAAATCGCTGTTGTGCACCGAGAGTGCTACATCAATTTTAGATAATTCGTCCTTCCAACTTCTTCATGGGATGGCAGATCGATCCGCTACTTTTGCACCTTATGGATACAAACACATGGGACATGTTTGTCAAAAATAGACTGATTCGAAAGCTCGTGCTCTGTCTCACTTCCTCTGAATTTCCGTCGATGAAACTAGGTCGTAAAGAAACAAGACTTGTTTTTCATGCACAGGGAATACGGTTTTACGGGTACTCGAGCTATGAAAGGCCCAGAACCCTTCTACATGCACAATAAAATTGGAGCCCATGGGTCAAATCAGAGGCTGCTTTTCAATTAGAACTTCGACATTCCTGCGAAAGTACGAGGTTCTTTCCACGATGCGATGGCTCCGTCGTCTTTGTTATCATCAGGCCGCAGAGGCTCATTGTGATCGCCTTTCACGTACTCGTCTTCCTCGCATTCGATAGCAAGGTTGTCTTGAATAATGTCAGAAACTATAAGCTCTCCATGGTTTCCCGTTCCTTTCCATATAGGTGGTGCTCACGTAATGTCGCAGGAACTAAAGTCCTCTATCAAGTACGTAAATCACCTTTAGGCGGGATATTTCATTGGTAATAGATGGAGAGCGTTTTATCATCTTCCTTGGAGCGACAAGTCCATCCTGAGATAAGATTTCGAAAGTCGTCCTTGCTCGAATTTAGCGGCACTCTTATTCGACCGGTTTAAAACAAGTAAAGTTTTCCAAACATACATCTCCAGTGTTCATAAGATGTGTGAAGGTTCCGTAGATAGTCAATATTAAGCGTTTTGTACGCGTTCAGGACACTTTTAATTCGAAAGCAAAACGAGCACATGTACCAAGGCTTCGAAACTTCATGTCATGCCTTCAAGCCCACGTCACTACCAGCTACCCCACCAATGTACAGAGGCGTATCTCTTCGGCTCGCTCACCTGTTCGACACAGTGGTATGACACAGGGGAATCTGATCCCGTAGCTTTCTTCCCATAATCGTTCGATAGATTTGGACACCAGATTTCAGACCAGTGTTCGAAAACACGTTCGGTATACATATCGTCTTTAATGGCCCAAGTATCCTTCCCTTGGTAACCTTTTGAGACCCTAACACTTGGATGGGGATTCAACCGCACCCTTCAAGAATTGGGGTCTTGAAAGGTTACCAAGGGATGGATACTTAGGCCATCAAGGTCCTGATCTAGTCCCTTGATTGACGGATCAAGTTAGTTAGGCGTAGTGTCGTTCGAAGAATATTGTATAGTAGCCCAAGGAGTAATAGCAGAGCGGTAGACAAGAGGTCCCGTCGGGCTCCTAGTGGACCGCAGCAGTGCTGGGTATGCGCGGGACATGTACTCATAGCGTAACAATGTTTGTTCGAGGGTAAAGCGTTGTGCTCACGGCCGGGGCGTTTACCCAAAGCATGTCGGATGAAAAAACCACCGAGTCAAGCCTCCCGCCAGGATGCGCTGGTGCGCGGAGCCTAGTGATTCCGGAGAGGAGGCCGATGAAGTGACAGTTAGCATAAAAGGTGACCTAAGCGCCCACAAAACGCTTTCAGCCTTCAATTGTCTATTTACAGCTCCCGCATTTCAAAAAGAAATCTTGCCCTCCAGTTTTTGTTTGGGGTGCAGCTGATGTCCAATAAAGAAGAAATGTGAGAGCTTGCTCGAAGAAGGCAAATCTTGAGCGAGTCCCTAAAAGTTCGGCAGAAATGATTCAGATCATCCATTGGATCCACAAGCTCCGGAATTTGGTTTCCCACATAAGGACCATCTATGAAGAAATGAAAGGTAATAGAGAACTTTCCGTCTCCACCAGCGATGCTATATACGACAACCTTGTTAACGACTGACGCGAGGTAGTATGGAAGCGATCACAATGATCTTATACGATAACCTGATGATAATGGCGAATTCCATGCTTCCAATTCATAACAAAAGAATATCACCAACGGGAGTAGAGATAAATTGAGAGAAGTAGTAAGATTTCAAACTATACTATTTCCTACCAATTGTGATGCATGGTTGTACCAGATGGTTGCAAATTGAGCGAATCAACCTGCCGAGCTTTAGATATAAGCATAAAAGTTGAAAGAAGATGGTATCGCCATCTGAATATAGGAGTCTCAGCACAGCACAGCAGCGATATCCATCGAATGCGGTGAAAATAAACAAGAAAAGCTTCATAGGGACAACTTTGAGAAAAGGTAGTGGATTCAAGGCTTCAAATCGGGCAGTGGTATCTTCTTGAAACTGCCCGAGGCTGTCAAGAATTTCGTAATACTTGAGTGTTCGGAAAGAGATACAGCTGTAAACAGTCAATATGAGGTTTTAAAACGTCTTTGCGGGCGTTAAGACACGTTTCATGAAAAAACAGCAAAGCGAGGGCTTGCACCAAGGAACCGAACCTTTATGTCGCTAGTATAAGTTCTACGTTCTATCAACTGCACCAACGCTACTTCGTGGAGTACCTTTTTGGTTCCCTTGCCGTGCAACATAGTGGAAGAACATATGGTGGGAAAGATTCCGTTCCGTTACATTATCTCTAAGTCGGTAACAGACTTTGACGGTGAGTTTGTGATCAACGTTTGAGAACACTCATGGCCGTAATGCATTTCATCTTGAATAAACTCTGCGAGTCTTCTTCCCTGTAAGTCTGATGGTCAAGTTTCGGTACATGCCCCGTCCCCCATGGGCGAAGTCCAGCGCTGCGATCATCGATGTTCTCATCCTGCCTTCTCTAGACGCACACACACACACACATACACATACACATAAACATACACATACACATACGCATACACATACACACATATATACAGTAAGTACACTGATAAACCAAGGTCAACCTTAGCGTTCCATACATACATATATAGTAATATATAAACTTTTCTATTTTAGGGCGCGAACTAATGATTCGTCTTTCTCTTGCTGATGTCATAAACTCAAACGAACTTCTTCGTATGCAGTGTTGTTGCTTTGTTGCAAGTGCTACATGTACATTCATTATGAAGGTTGGATGGTTTGATTGGAGAGTTCATCTGTGTGATTAACGATATTTTGCAGTCTGAACCAACACCTTCTTTACCTTGTGCTAATCCGTCTTGTGAACCTGAGAATTACGGTTTCACTACATGTGACCTTCTGAGTCATTTTGAGTTAGTAATTGCTATTCTTCGTTCTCCAGAAAATAGTATACACGACGAGACAGAAATTCTCCCCTATTCAGGTGCCAAAGAAAGCTGGTGAAGGAACTCTCTCATTGGGCGGAATATTCGTGGTGCCACATTGAGTTCGGTCATGCACTATTGCTAGGATCGGAGAGGAGTGGGAAGTCTTCTGTAGCGGCATTACTTGCACAACACCTTGCGCAGTTCCACTGCTGCTTCTCCGTCCGCGTAGATTGCAGCTTATGGAAGGGTAAGCGTCTTTCATGTGCTACATATAACTGTAGGTTCAATAACGACATTTTATAGGAAAGTCAACGAAAAGCATCAAGGAACGTATTACCAGTGGAATAAGCTCACTTTCTAAGCGGTCTCCAAGTTTATTAATACTTGACGACTTCGAGTCTTTTAACCACTTCAGCGACGAAAAGCTGAGACAGTTGGGCAGTGATCGCATTTTTCAGCGTGGGTGAACATTTTCCTATATAGCAGACCCGAAGAAAAGCACATTCCGCGGGTTTTTCCTCTTTCCCAGGCCACAAGGACATGTGCTAGCATTGCTTTTTTTGGTTCCACCTTGGGATTGGCGTGGTGGCTCCAATTTTACATTGTTTTTGATTGGCAACAAAATTTTGTCTTTCGGGTGTTGCCTACATCGCATCTAAATTCTTTCAAAGCTGCTTTGGGTAAAATTTTACAGTTACACATACATACATACATACATACATACATACATACATGCATACATACATACATACATACATACATACATACATACATACATACATACATACATACATTCATACATACATACATACATACATACATACATACCATACATACATA